AAAGAATCACACTGCTCTGGTGAGCCTCTCCCCTCCTCACTGCGGTTAATTATCATTTGGAACATCAGGATGTGTTTGAAGATGGCAGTACTCCCAGACCCTGATAATTAATTGATTTCATGCAGTGGTGGCAGCAGCATATATTCATTCCTCCATCGTGTTTGGCTTCTGCTTTTCTTTGACTTTGTTTAGTATCTTCTTTCCATGTCTGTTATACTCAGAAGCTCTCTGTGGCTGTTAAAGTACTACAGTTTGTTACAGAGAAAGGAAAAGAAGGAATAGATCACTGAAGTGGGATTGGCTCTCCCCATTACCTGGAACTGGGTTGTCCTGAGGGGTCAGTGTAAGTTACAATTCAAAAATTTCAGAAATGCTATCCTTTACCAACTGATGCAAATAACATCCCCTGGCCACCCTGTACTAGAGGTTCTCCTACTTGGCTGTATATTAAAATCATCTGTGGACCTTTTTAAAAAAAGCTGTTTCTTGGGCCTACTGCCACAGATTCTGATTTAATTGGTTGGGTGGGGCCCAGGCATTGGTGTTTTTAAAAGCTTCCATGATGATCATTAATGCACATGCAGGGTTGAGTACCACAACCTATCAATGTGCCCGATTTTTTTTTTTTTATTAGATCACTTAGTACTATGTGACTTGTTTAACTGATTTGATTACTTCACCTGCCATGTAATCTCCATGAATGCATGGGCCCTGCTTTGGAAGAAGGAAAAGGGAATATTTGGTAAAGTCAGCGCTTTGGGCATGTGAAGTTGGGGGACATGAAAGAGAAATGGAATCTGTGGAAACAGGTCCTGCAGACTACTGTCTCCGCTTCATCTTTGTTCAAGGATTGACCTTATTTTGTTGATCCATCATTTTCATAGTCTTGGATGTGTCTCCAGTTCTTCTTTCTATAGATCTTGCCCTGTTAGGTTTCAAGGTCTTAACATAGCACTCTATGAAATACAGCTACTCTTTGGAAAGTTTGAAATATTAACATTTAAGTTTAGATATATTCTGTGTAAATCTGTACTATTGTCTACTATTTAGGGGAACATATATACTGCATTAAAAATCCAGACACTTCCTCTGACTAGTACAATTACATTTATGTGGATAACAGGTCAGAGTATTTAGGATAGGGACTGTCCCAGACACTGGACAGTTTGTGCGTGGTTGATATATTGTCTTTGTTAAATGGTTGTCTGAGAACGTTAGCTCCCCAGAGGATGGGGTTGCTGTCTAATTTTCTTTGTTTAGTACCGAACTCAGGTTTCATTTGCGTTACTGACAATTATGATTCCAAGTGATGTAAGCAACCACTTTGTAATTCTCTGTGAGATGGGAGTAGGAAGTCAGGTACCTAATGGCATTCTGGGGTTATTGCCACAGGCTTAATGATGTGAGATTGGCCAGTACATGTCTTGGACTTGGAGGTAGGCTTAATCAAAATTTGGCAGAACGGTTACAACAAATACTGGGCTCCAAATGCAAGAGAGACCATACCTTCAACTTTTTTGTTTGTCCTTTGTGCATAAAAATAAAGCATGAATAAGTGGTGGTCTGACACTTCACAAACAATTTGAAAACAAGACTGTTCAAATTCCTTGAATCATAACTTTTAGATCTATACAGATACCTTTTGTTTTCCTCTTGTTTCCATAGTGGAAAATAAGATCATTAGATCATTGAACTACATGATTATGATAGTCTTTAAGAAAAATAACATTTGGAGCTTTTTTCTTTGTATATATGTATACACATTTTTTTTTTTTTTTGAGATGGGGGTCTTGCCATATTGCCCAGGATGATCTTGAACTCTTTTTTTTTTAAAAAAAATTTAATTTTTTTACTTTTATTGCTTTTGTTTTTTTTCATTAATAATGTACTGGTATTATGGAACTCTTGAGCTCCCAAGTGGTCTTCATGCCTCAGCCTCTGGAGTAGCTGGGACTACATGCATGTGCCACTGTGCCCAGCTTGCTTTAAATTTCTTCCAGTTATATTGCTGTTTATAAAGTTTTGACTTTCAACTAATGTCTAAGAGTAATTTACCAGGTTGGAGTTAATGTATTTACATAGCCAGATACTGTTTTTTATTAGTAGGAAAAGGACATGTTCCTATCCCCCACTGTATTAGACTTGTATGTATAACTCTCTGCCTATAAAATTGTTTTTTTAATTTCTAATTTTTTTACTTCATTTTTAGTATCTTTAACTTTTATATCATGTGCATATTTCTATTGCAGCAGAAATGGTTTAAAAATGAAAAAACATTAATGTGTGCTTCAAATGTAGCAAGAAAAGAATAAGCGCCGGTAGTAACAATTACCTGAGTTCAGGATTTCATGCTGGAAGGAAATTTAGCTGTAAACTCTACTTGCTTAGTTCCAGTAAGCATCTTTTCCTGGGAAATTTCTAAAAAAGATAAATTTCATTGAATTTATATATATGTTTTTTGGTTGATCTGAGGAACTTTTTTCTAGAGTCATTCCCATCTAGCACTGTTGTTCTTACTTGGTTCTAAGGCTATTTGAGATACCAAATGATATTTTCCTGCTCCCTTTGCAAATAGCTTTCTTGTTATAATGTCTTGGTTTTATATTTATAGGAAAATACCATAAATCTGTTACAGGTTTCTTCTTTCATTTAGAAGTCTTTCATTTTAAACAGAGTTATTTCCCCAAATATGATTCAATGCCTTGTTTCTCCTTATGTCTCATCTTTAATTTTTACTTTTAGGAATCCGCTTTATTTTTTATATCTGTGATTTTTATTTCCTGGAAAAAAATTAGGACATATAGATAAAGGAGAAAACAAAACTGCCCACAAGTGACAACTATTAACATTTTAGTATATATCTTTTCAAAGAGAGGTTTATCTAGTGTGCCTCAGGCAACATCTACTTAGGTGTACAAATGGGTCTCTCAAATATCAGTGCTCTACTTATAAAGTCAGGTCTTTTCCTGGCATGCATGGCCCTCCATAATTATTGCCAGTAGGAGTCTCTCCCTTGAGGGGCTACTTGCATTGCTGCCTATATCTTGTTCTGTAGCTTTGGAGTCTGCTGTCTTTGCTATCCTTCTGCACCACTGACTGCTGCTGTGCTGCTGCTAAGTGGCTGTGAGCCACACTGACGTCCTTTAAATGGCTGGTATCCACACAGCCCACGGACCATGCCTGCCATAGTGCAGCTAAATTCCTGTGGAGTACCATCTTTAGTCTTCTCCCTCTCTGGCCATCAGGGAAATCCATGATATTTACGTCCATCTCTTTGAGAAGGATTTATCTAGCAGAACAGCTGGGGCCTTGGTGAAATAGTTATTCTCTGTTTTATAGCCATTTCCTTTCCAGAATTTTCAGGCACTTTGGGGTGGGTGAGTGCCTGGGTATTGAAGAGAGGTGGTGTTGGGGAACATGAGATGGTTAAGTACAGTCTTTCACCGTGCCTAGCATCCCTGTGGAGATAGCTAGGAGTGGTGGATTTATTCCTTTTTAAGAAGGGAATGACATCTTTTCTGATGTGAGTATAAGCTTTTCAAGTGGAATTTCTGGCACTTAGTACAGTGTGTGGTACAGAGAAGCCTTCATAATCATTTCTTGAATGGATTGTTGAATCAAGGTATATACCATGCAAAGAACTAAGTACTGTGAGCGAATCAGAAAAGTATGATACTTTATCATCAAGTTTGTTTTTCTCTGACATACGGTTTCTGTTTTTTTAAAATATAGTCATAATTAGTATAGGCTAGTTGGAGAGATAAAAAACACATACAAATAGACATCATCTGAGAAGTGAAAATGATAAATGCTATGGGATGCTCTCAAGATGGAGAGCATGTTGGGATAGCTCAGCCTTCTCTCCTTTCTGAAGCTGCTTTGGGGAAGGGTTGGTGTGGTCATTGTGGTATGGGAATGGTTCAGACAGGTTAAGCGGAGGGGAGAGAGAATGGGGGCTTGCCAAGTCCAACACAAAGCTGAGGGGAGTGTGGATGCAGCTGACCTATTCTGAGGTACTCTGCGCCTCGATTACGTACCCTTTTCCACCTTTACCTCTATACCCTACCCTCCATGGAGAGCCTGTCTGGGGACAAAATATTAGGACCTTCTCTGTTAACCTATATCAAAATAGCAACTTGAATTTGTTACATGAGAGAAGAGCTAGGAGTGGCTGCCTCTGAAGTCCTCTGCTTCTAGCAGGTGTGATAAAGGATTTGGGGGGTCCTGTTACCCACTCCTTAAGCGTAACTTTCCCCCCTCACATCTTCAGGGCAGGTGTCCTCCTATGCCTTGGTACTCCGATGAGGGAGCACCAGGACCACATATGTGGTGGGGAGAGCTGGAAACTTAAAGGATGTTTCCTGTCTCCTGCCGTACAGAGGGGTGGCATTCCTTGTGTTTTAGAATGTCAGGATGGTTTGCACAATATCCCAGAGCTCTTCATAAAAACACAAAGTTTCCTCCTAATATTCTTTAAATATAGTTAATATAGTAATGTTACATAACTTAAACTATAAGGAAAGGGAAGTGATTTTATTTACTGAGAACTCTGTAGAAATTTGTTACTTTTATTTTGTAATTTTTGAGTTTAAAGACATTCTCCTTTGCTGTCTTAAATGTTAAAGCCTAAATAGACAGTAGGGGAAATATTACTGTATTTACACAGAAGCCTGGCATTGGGAAAGGACACTTTAGGAGATTGTCTGGAAATGAAATAGACATTACTATGCTCTGGCTCCTTGCTTTCTCCTCATGACTTTGGGCTTAGACAAGGTTAAGGAAGAGGAAATGTGTTTTTCCTCTTACCCCACCCTAGGCTATTGCAGTTGGTGATGTTCTTCTCTCATTTTCCCTCTTTGAAGGAGTTCTTTGAAGAAAAATGTGCTTCATGAACCAATTGCAGTTTCTCCTCTACATAAAGAACTCCTAAGGCTACTAGCAGGATAGAAGCAAATTAAACTGAAAACTCATCTGCAGCTCAGAAAAACAAAGACATGGAGTTTTGAGGAGTGAAGGTAGCATGGTGTCGGCCATGGGTGATCAAGACACAGCCAGAAAATGTGGACCAATTTCTTCAAACTACGGCTTTTCTGCTGTCTGCTTGCAGTGTTGATGGTGGTGGTGCTGGTCATCAATGTTACTCAGGTAGAGGTGAGTACCCAGTATACTCCTTCATAACTAAGGAGCCAAATCTGGGGATTTGGGGCTAACTAGCTTGAGAAAATGTTGGTTATCAGGAAGCTTATCCTGGTTACAGTTACTGTTTTCATGTATTCAGTAAGTATTTGAGTGCCTACAGTGTCATATACTGTGCTAGAAATTGAGGATACAGTGATGAAGAAAACAGACATTTCTTCACTTATGGAGCTTGCATTCTAAATGTGCATGGGAGAAAATAATAAGTAATAATCATAATCACATAATAATAAAGGTAATTAGAGATTGTGAAAAGTGTTATACAGAAAGGAAAAAATGTTACCTAGAAAGAAAAGTGTTACATAGTCTAGGGAAGATTTAGAGTGATTAAAAAAAAAAGTCTCTTGAAGGAGGGGACCTTTTAGTTGACTCTTGTCAAAAGCTGAAGGAGCACTTGGAGGGAAGGAGTTGACGAGACTGTTTTGAAGATTTTACTGGTGGATGGCATTTAAGGGCAGGGACTGTGTCATATTGAACCCCTCACAAGTGCCTGGCACTAACAAGGTACTTAGTAGTACCACCCTGCATGAACTCATATATCACTAAAATTTGTGGAGTAGTTTTTATATAAAAGGATGCCGTCCTTTTTGTTTTGTTGGCTTGTGGTACTACTCAGATTACAAGTCCAACTTAATAATGGCATTTCTTTTCTTACTGGGTTTTATTAGCACAAGATGTTTAAAGCTAAGCCATAGGTTTTTTAAAAAATTTCTCCTGGCGAAACTCACTTTGTGGTTTTTAGCAGCATACCTAATCTCACGGGGAAATGGGCACACTAAAGTCCTACGGATTTTTTTCTGTGAGCCAAATTAGCAAACTTTGTTAGGTACTTTGAAGAATGTGAAGTGATTCTGTTAAAGATTTTGTTTAAGATTTCTTACTAGAAATGGGCTTAGGGCATAAACACTAGTTATTCTTCTTTTTCTTGCATGTTTTGCTAGATAAGGCAGTGCCAATTCTACACTGACAGTGCCTTCTACCTGGAAGCTGTATTTAAACTCTTTTTTTTAGTTTTTTTGGTCTCAAAAATAATGTTTTTTTAAACACATAAAATGTGCCGTGTAGCACCAATGTCTGTAAATAATCAGAGTTTCATCCAGTTACTACTCTTTGGAACTGTTATGACTAAAGTCCTTGACAGATTAGTCTGTTTGAGCAGATAATTATTATATTATGATGACAAAAAGTGGAGATGACATGGAATAAAAATTCATTTAATAAATGTATATAGAACCACATTTGTGTTTTTTTTTTATTGTATGATCTCATTTATATACAGAATTTTTTTTTTATTTCAGCATATTATGGGGGTACAGATGTTTAGGTTACGTATGTTGCCTCCTCTCCCCTCCAAGTCCGAGCTTCAAGTGCGTCCATCCCCCGGGTGGTGCGCATTGCACTCATTGTGTATGCATATGCCTGTCCCCTCCTTCCCCCTCCCCCCTGCCCGACATCCAATAAGTGTTATTCTTATATGTACACTTAAGTGTTGATCAGTTAATACCAATTTGATGGTGAATACATGTGGTGCTTGTTTTTCCATTCTTGGGATACTTCACTTAGTAGAATGTATTCCAGCTCCATCCAGGAGAAAACAAGAGGTGCTATATCACCATTGTTTCTTAAAGCTGAA